GCCAAGCGCAAGAAGACAAGCTAGCAATAAGCTGAGTATGTGACGGCCACTGGGTGGATCATGGAGCGAGCTGCAGGATCCACGCGCTCCGCAGGTAAAGTATTTCTATGTTTCTGAAATTGAAATGTACTAATAATCTTGTCAACTTCTTACAATGTTGTACACACAGCAGGTAGAACTGGCACAATGTTGAGTCAAATCCACAAGCCATGTTAAGAACATGGCTGGATATCAGGTGAGGGGCGCTTCTTCAGGCAGGCTGGGGCAGGTAAGTCAAACCAACTACAGACATGAATTACTCGTTCAATACTGCAAAATTATTCACAAGCTCAAAATGCTACGATTCAACGCAAGGTAGGGTGCTCCTTGAAAGAGAGTGAAACAGGCTGGGCCATGGGGCGCAGGTAAGTCAAATCCACAGGTTGAAGCTATAAATCCACAACATAACGTCAGGCTGAGAGAATTGGCAGCTGATCCTGTTTCTAAAATATTACTTTCCTGGCGAACTATAAAATTCTGAACGCCGAGGTAGGTGGAACTGGGGCGCTCTTTCAAGAGCGGGTGGCAGGTGGGCCAGGTAAGTCCATTAGACACGTTGAAGCTACACATCTACCATATTACGCTAGGCTGAGAGTAGCTTTGGCAGCTAATTGTGATTCTAAATATTACTGTTCTGTCTAACTGCAAATTCTGAAAGTCGAGGTAGGTGGAACTGGGGCGCTCTTTGAAAAGCGGGTGGCAGGTGGGCAAGGTAAGGCAATTCAACATGTTTGAAACAATAAAGTGTGCATGTCACAACCATACCTCCAAAGGACTCGTCTTCCAAAGCTAAAACTCCAAAACGATGAACGAAGCGAAGTATGCTTCGAGTGGTTCTTCTTGAACATTTTTCGAAAATCAATGCAAAACGTGCATTGTTGTACAAAAATTGTACGGTCGCTTCGCTGACGCGTACGCAATGCGCGCGGATCACCATCACAACCTTTTGCGAAAAAAGTCGGTAAAAAAGACGCCATCTTACCATATGCACAGCGCGAGTCAGCCGTGGATGGCCTGCGATGGCCCAGTTGCGGCAGTTGCGGGGGGGGGGGGGGGGGTGCGACATGGCTGCGATTTGGGGTTTTTCCGGTTTCGCGCCTGTCGCATCGCGTGTTGCATCGCAAAAAAGCTTCTGTGAATCCCGCTTTAGACTTTTCAAGTCCGCAATATCTTCTACAAGAAGACGTACTGTCTCCCTCAGCTGGTTTGTAAGCGTGAGCATACTGATGCTGGCGGCTTGAGTGTGCATTGGTAGCCCAGTCTGTAATGCTACTGGATCATTTGGCTGGATTTTTTCCCACAGTCCTCCGACGAGCTGAACTCGGCTGAGGCTGGCCCAGTTCACATTGTTGGCCCTTGCTAGGCTTTCCAGGCCCTAGCTATCCGGAATACCAAAATCTATGGTAGCAATACTCTCCCTGGGAGAGCAGGGCATTGGACGTAAAAGAGCCTACAACTGCGCAGGTGAACGGCGAAAACGATTTCATGCCAAAGGGGCATCTGTGGCTGTCGACGTCGGCGGGTCGTGAGGTGTGTTTGCACGCCTTCATGGCGCTCCGACAAGTGCAATACAAAGATTCCCACTAGCTACACTGATTCTGGCTCATTATTTCTGAATTTGATACCCATTGTGATTGGTTTTCCGTGCCGAATTTCTGACGCTGCATGCATTTCCCATGTTCGTCAACAGTATTTCACACTTTCCTTTTCCCGCGTTATCGCCTCAAATGTACCAGTTTTGAATGTGACAAACCATAATATGAGCCGCAATCAGCGAAAACGACCCTTAGAGGTTTCCTAATTTTTTCGAGAAAAAGGTCGATGTGTGACGTTCAACGATTTTTTGACCGCGCTGCGAACAGCGCGACGAGTTCTTCTTGAGCTCCTTGCTTGGAGTAATTTAGTTTGAAGTTGAAGTGGTGTCGAGTTGCGACTCGAGTATTCCTTGATCTTGTTGCGATGGCTGCGGACGCCAGAGCTGTTCGCCGAGCACACGCGGCTGTCATTGTGTACAGCTAGCTCGAGCCTGGTGGGGAGCGGATGCTGAAGTAGCCGCTGAAGAGTGAGGATGAGACGTTCTTTGGCTCCGACATCCATGTCGACAGCGAGGCAGAATCGCAGCCGTCATGTCCTGCTCAAGGTGGCCGATGACTCGCCAGAGTCGGAAGATGAACAGTCGTCACCTGAAGTAAATAATTCTGAGTCTGGGGCTAGTGACGGTAGCGACGCCATGTCTTCAGTTGCTGAGGAAGAAATGGAAGACGAGATTGCTTAACGACTCCACGCAGGATGCAGCTGTGAATATGTCGATCATGTCTCCGCAATCTTCAGCTATTCTTTGTCATTCTAGCTGCCTACTGCACTGTTTCAAAGGTAGTCAAGCGCCCACCCACCTTAGAATGCTGAATATTTATTGTACACATGCATCGTATACATAAATTGCACCAATTAGGAGTACATCTTGTATATTGGTGCATAAACACGTTTTAAATCGGAATATTGAACTTTTTCTCGGCTGAGGTCCTTCAGGAGATGTGTTTCAACAAATTTCTAACCAAAAAGAGATTTTGAACATGTTGGCCCTAAGGGCTGTTTTCGCTGGTTGAGGCCCATATATAATAGCAGTTTGGTTTAAATTTAAAATCATTCCACATCTACCTTCACGAATGAGCTATATACTAGCGAAACAGCTGTCTGAGGGAGTTATCAATTATCGTCTACGGAAGTGTCCTCGCAGTGGGGATGGCTGTGTGCAGGAGGGTCTAGTCAGCCGCGTTGAGACCGCAGGGTAATGGTGGAGGTGACTCAACATTTTCTTCAATGGCCGAGAGCTCTGTCGCAGGAAGTGTCCTCGCAGTGGGAATGGCTGTGTGCAGGAGGGTCTAGTCAGCCGCGTTGAGACCGCAGGGTAATGGTGGAGGTGACTCAACATTTTCTTCAATGGCCGAGAGCTCTGTCGCACCCGTAATAATGTATTTACAAAATTTAAAAAACTCCATTGAAGAATCTAATCAAAAAAAAAGAAAAAGAAAAACGAGAGCTGGGGCCGGGGGAGGCACCCACCAGGCCCCGTACTGGATGCTCAGTCAAGGAGGATGACACTGTAGCGCCCCCACGCTTGACTGGCAAAGAAAACGAACTTGAGTCTTCGAAGTAGGACGGTTGTTGGCTTGCGCCTTGGAGAAGTGTTCTAGCTGGATGTCGGGTTGCTGAATGTCTCAGTACTCCTTGTCAGGTTTGTGCCATTTTTCGCACTCGCTGATTGTATAATCATGATCTGGTTACGTTGTTGGACAGTTATTAGGAACCATTAGCAAGCAGTGAAACGTCAACGCGCACGAGAACAAGTTCATCGGAACGCATGCGAAACACCGCGTAATTTAGGATTAGATTCTCGCGTTCACAATTCGCCTACACAAGTCGGCTGCTTTCCAGTTTCGAACAGTTTTCTGATGTTTTATAATGGCGACATTTTTTGAGAACTTTTCCTTGAGAACAATTCTCAGCCTAACTGACTTTTACCCCAATGCAACTGAAAGAAACTGAAAGTCATTCTCCGAATGACTTTACTATGAAGGCAGTCAGTTGAGAAAAAATGTACGTTTCGGAGCAGTAGACAAAAAGGAGCGAGCAAGCGTGAACAAGTCTAATTGTTGGCACTGTGGCCCTCAATCCTGTTCTGTATCATGTTAGTAATGGCTATGATAAATACCAATGCTACTACTGGCTACTCAAATTTATTCCACCAAGAATGGATGAAACATGTTCGAAATTTGAGAAAATCGCAAAGAGAAAAAGAGGTGAGATTTACGGTGCTATTCTCAATCTTGACCTACAACCTTGCTTGCCATGGCCTGTCCCGTGCACAAGAAAAGCGCCTAGATGTGTTTCATAGGAAACAGCTGCGGTGTACCCTTGGAATTACCTACCCAGATGTCATCTCGAATGCAGATTTATATGCTGTTACTGGCCAGTGCTCTGTATCTGAAATGGCCAAGCGGGACAGGTGGAAGCTATTAGGACATATATTACGCCAGCCAAGTGACATCCCTGCGAATGTTGCTCTCACTGCTTTCTGTACATATGCTACCAGTCAGCCCTTTCGAATAGGTGCACCCCGCTCTTGCCTCACCACAAGTCTCCAGCGAGACGTCCGCCTCACACCTATCTGCATTTTTAAGCCCAGCTGCCTTCGTGATCTCGGCACCTATGCCCGCGACAGAAAACAATGGAGTAACATCTGCTCAGCCATTTAGTCTAGTACTGCTCTTCTTAAATTTGACCTTATTACAAGACTTCTTTTCTTTTTCAGTTCGTTCTCCCACTCTCACACACACATGCTCACGGTTAATTCTGCCGTCGTGAGTCCCATTCGGGACGGATACGAGAATAATAATAATAATAATAATTCTCCGTATCAGGTTCATATTTATTCCAACAAGAATGGTTCAGATATTTTCGAAAATTTGAGAAAGATCGCTCAAAACCAACTCGTAGCGGTCAAGGCTTGCTAATGGTCCCTAGTCATAACTCGTAAAAGGTTGTCCTTTTCCTCTTTTACCATAATTAAATTGGCTCACCATCCGAGTAAAACTAAACATTATCATAATTTATTGTTTTACTGCTCATATATGGTTCACTAATTCGAGGGTAAGACACAAACTGGAACAGTCTGAAGAAAAAATTGACTGACACCACCAGTACTTGAACCATGGACCTTCGCTTGTAGCCAGCGATGCTGTAACCACTGAGCTATGATGTAGTCGTCATCTCAGCAGAAACCGTTCAACATTTTCTTCAGACTTCGTAACTCACACTTTGTGTGAATCTACACAGGCGGGTGGGATGCAGCCCTCACTGTAACCCACATACTCCACCTACAAACTAGCACGCAAAATAGAGTAATAAGAAATTCTTCCAGGTTTATACATTCTATCAAAATTCTACTTTTGTTATCCCAGGGTTTTGTCCAATAATCGAATTGTTCACCTACCTGACGGGCTGTTCAAAGCCACAACCGAATTAGTATCCCTGTAAGTAATGTTGTGCATGTATCATAAAAAGGCGTTTTTGGCATAGTTCTGTTCTTTTTGGATGTGGCGAATGGGATTTCGGGATGTGGCATCTAGGTATATGCGGATTTTGCCGGAAGAAAAACTGGCAGAATTCGGTACTTTTTTTCTGGTAAGTTTATGCATGTTTGGTGTGTGGATAAAGAAATGGAGCAGAATACGAGAAATTGACCGCCATAAGGTTTGTATGGTTCTGCCAATTTCACTTCTTTTGGAGCAGAATCTGCCACCTTTTCGAGGATTATCCGCCAACGCCTAGTGGCATCTCGTTAGTTGATCTGAGGTACCCTTCCCCACCCTTTATGACCGGTATCTGATGCCGCTCACGGGGTGGTCGAACCAACGTAAGCGGAAGTGTAGCTCTTCATCTATCCTGTACCGAAACCTGTGCAGAACCAAAAGCAGCCTTGTATCAGATACAGTTGTAGATAGACAGCTAGGAATGACCATCCGTCGGCTAAGGATGATCATGGCCACTGCAGGTAGCCATGGAGTTTTTACATCATGGCGAAGCTTCAACACGCTAGCTGCTATTGCTATTCATTTTCCACTCTTCTTGCTCCTCGGTGCCATTGTCCTGATCTGTCAAGGTCTGAACTAAAAAATAGCTACGACGAGATGCGAGCCCGTGACTGCAAACATGTAAAAAGGCACAGATACCGCTTCTGACGACTGCGCCTCCGTCCCATCTTAGTCAGAAATGGGACTCATAATCGACCAAGCACCGAGCAAAAGCTCTGAGCGGAGAGCCAATACGACTCTCCGGCAGTGGAGCCATCACTTGTTGTGCTGTTTTAGCTTTCCGTCTAGCAAACCGCATACACTGCTTCTCCCAAACACGAATTTCCTCTCTTGCTGATTCAATCCAGTAGCGTGACGAGAGAGCGCTGAGTGTCATGATTTATTTATTTACTTCTTCAGTATTTATTATTTGAAACTCGGATGTTGAGCCATAAATAAATGTAGAAAGGAAAAAAGACATATGGATACGAGTTAAGAGGAACTGTCGGTTAACGCTACGGAGATGTGTTGAAGCTAGGTGTCGGGACGTCGAATGTCACAGTACTCTTGTCAGTTTTGTGCCTAGTTATTGCACTTTCTGACTATATAATAGTATCCAGTTACAGTGATGGAGAGTTACTCTTAATTCGTATCCATATGTTCTTTTCCTTTCTACATTTATTATTTATTTCTTTATTTACCACAAAGGCAGAGCGTAATACACAACAGAACAACAAGGACAATCAAGGCTTGTTTGCTGCTACTTTAAGTTTCATGCTTACGCAATCATCAGGCAACATGAAGATCGGGTGCCGACCATGCCGGTATATATGCCAGGAGAGGGTGGTATAAAAAGCTGTGTGAGACTGTGGGGGCTAGCGCAGTAGCGGTGATGTTTTAGGCAGGGGGCTGTGTGCAGAGTGTGTGGTTGTTGAAGGCAGGGGCTAGCAGTGCAGTGTGAGCGCGAAGTGTGTGGCTGGTGTGGGCAGGAGGTGGTGAACAATGCGTGTGGATGTTGTAGGCAGGAGGCTGTAGAGCTAGCAGTGTGATAATAGCGCAATGTAAATGGATATGTCTGGTGTGGGCAGGGTGTTATGAGCAAGGTGTGTGAACGTGAATGGTGTGGGCAGGAGGCTGTGGAGGCATGTTTAGGTGACACCGTGGTTTTTTAGGAGATACTTGTTCTCGTGTCGGCACTTGGACACCATTTCGGAGCGCTTGTTGAGGCTGGACGGTGACCCTAGCGTGTTCAGGATGTGATACTTTTCTCTGGTACAGAGGGAACACCGCTTCGTGATGTTGGAGTATGCCCGGACGCGATCTTTTATCCTCCATTCGACTTCGTATTGGGCGTTGGATTTCTTCAGCTTCCAGATGTAGTTGGAGAACTCAGTGCAGCTGGAGTACTTCTCGTATCTTGTTGTAGTCATGTGGTTGGCATGGCGTGACTTGAATGGTGGCGCCGACATACCGGTGTATTCCTTTTTGGTGGGGCCTGACGTTATGGATGCCACATATATCAGCTCCGTCGTTTGGCATTCACCGTTGAGTGGACAAGATGGCTTGTCTCGGCAGTTGCAGGGCTTTTCCGGTTTTTTCGTTTGCGGGCAGAGGACCGCTTTGTTGTGGCTTTTGATGCGTGCAGCCATATTTGGCATGCAACTGTAGCTTATCTTGATGGTGTTTTTTGTGAATATTTTTCCGAGCTTCGACTGCGGGGGGAAGTGCTTCTTAATGAGCGCGAGGAATCTTCCACCGATGTTTGTTTTCACATTACGGCTGTAGGGCGGGTTGTACCAAATCACCTTCCTCTTCCTTTTCTTCTTTTTGCTTGTTTTCTGTTTGAACTCTAGCGTGCTAGGGTGGCCGCTGGCGTTGAGGGCCTCCGCGTAGATGGGGATAGCATCACGGAACACCGCCTCTGAGCAGGAGATGCTTGCCAGTCGGTTGTTAATTCCAGGTGGGATGTTCTTAAGGACTTGCGGTGGGTGATTGGAGTTGACGTTGACATACAGTGGGGGGGCCGACATAATACTACACGCGAGGCAGTCACTGCTATTCGGAGCTAACCGAACATGGGCAAAGAAAAACAGAGACGGGCTGTTCGATGTTACCATGGGATCCTTCGATGGCGCTGAAGCATGTGAGCTGGTCGGCGCCTTCCTCCTGGGTAAACTCGAACAGCACTTCAGTAGCGGCTCGGTAGGCCTCTACAGAGACGACGGGCTTGCCGTCCTCCGTAACGCCACTGGCCACAGTGCGGACAAAGTACGGAAAGCTGTCATCGACACCTTCAAGACGCTGGGGCTGAAAATCACGATAGACGTCAACCTGAACGCTGTTAACTACCTAGACATCACAATGAGCCACTCCACAGGAACCTACCAACCGTACCGTAAACCCAACGACACCCCACTGTATGTCAACGTCAACTCCAATCACCCACCGCAAGTCCTTAAGAACATCCCAGCTGGAATTAACAACCGACTGGCAAGCATCTCCTGCTCAGAGGCGGTGTTCCGTGATGCTATCCCCATCTACGCGGAGGCCCTCAACGCCAGCGGCCACCCTAGCACGCTAGAGTTCAAACAGAAAACAAGCAAAAAGAAGAAAAGGAAGAGGAAGGTGATTTGGTACAACCCGCCCTACAGCCGTAATGTGAAAACAAACATCGGTGGAAGATTCCTCGCGCTCATTAAGAAGCACTTCCCCCCGCAGTCGAAGCTCGGAAAAATATTCACAAAAAACACCATCAAGATAAGCTACAGTTGCATGCCAAATATGGCTGCACGCATCAAAAGCCACAACAAAGCGGTCCTCTGCCCGCAAACGAAAAAACCGGAAAAGCCCTGCAACTGCCGAGACAAGCCATCTTGTCCACTCAACGGTGAATGCCAAACGACGGAGCTGATATATGTGGCATCCATAACGTCAGGCCCCACCAAAAAGGAATACACCGGTATGTCGGCGCCACCATTCAAGTCACGCCATGCCAACCACATGACTACAACAAGATACGAGAAGTACTCCAGCTGCACTGAGTTCTCCAACTACATCTGGAAGCTGAAGAAATCCAACGCCCAATACGAAGTCGAATGGAGGATAAAAGATCGCGCCCGGGCATACTCCAACATCACGAAGCGGTGTTCCCTCTGTACCAGAGAAAAGTATCACATCCTGAACACGCTAGGGTCACCGTCCAGCCTCAACAAGCGCTCCGAAATGGTGTCCAAGTGCCGACACGAGAACAAGTATCTCCTAAAAAACCACGGTGTCACCTAAACATGTCTCCACAGCCTCCTGCCCACACCATTCACGTGCACACACCTTGCTCATAACACCCTGCCCACACCAGACATATCCATTTACATTGCGCTATTATCACACTGCTAGCTCTACAGCCTCCTGCCTACAACATCCACACGCATTGTTCACCACCTCCTGCCCACACCAGCCACACACTTCGCGCTCACACTGCACTGCTAGCCCCTGCCTTCAACAACCACACACTCTGCACACAGCCCCCTGCCTAAAACATCACCGCTACTGCGCTAGCCCCCACAGTCTCACACAGCTTTTTATACCACCCTCTCCTGGCATATATACCGGCATGGTCGGCACCCGATCTTCATGTTGCCTGATGATTGCGTAAGCATGAAACTTAAAGTAGCAGCAAACAAGCCTTGATTGTCCTTGTTGTTCTGTAGTGTATTTCTTTATTTATTACAGCATCTCATAGCACAGTGAGAACACCGGCCAATACAAAGAGAGAGGGTGTTAGCCAACCACGGCAAGGAAGGGAGAAGGGGAGTAGAAGCAAAAAGGAACCAGCATGGATAAGTAGTGATTGCAACAAAATGAGAAACACAAAATCAAAGTCAAGGCGCGATTAGGCTCTTAAAAAGGCGGAGGGAAGAAAGGTCCTTAGCTTCTTGGGAAAGTGCATTTATTATTATTTTTTCTGCACCTCGTGGCATGCCAAGACAGGCAATTGAATTGAGGAAAGGGTGAGACCAACCACGGAACAAGAGAAAAATGAATATGAAGAGCACCTACACAAAGTGGGAAGGGATTAGCAACTTTTAAAGCAATGGGATGCTCAGCGTGCTATGCAGCGGAAGTGGTGACTGTGATTTTGTTTACTGGGAGATACTGAAGTGCTGTCTGCCGCGGGTACGGAATTTGTGCATATCTGGAGCTTGTCTAACACTGGGAGGCAGTTGGAGCCACGTGGAGTAGGAGGAAAAGAAAGGGGAACTTACGAATAGGGTAGACCTAGCTAGGGGGAGACGAACGCAGCTTTGAGCGGTGCCACCTGACTTAAACCAATTAAGTGACTGTAAATGAGCAGGGTGCTGGTCAAGAAAAATTGAATGTGCAAGGGTGCACTTGGAAGGATCAAGGTAGTGTTGCAGAGTGGTAGTGGATGCAGCAGCATACAAGTCTAGATTTGAGATAAA